CAAAACAAATAAGATTCCAGAAACTACCAAGTGTTTTATAGGTGTCACTGAAACTCTAATTTATTMTAATCTTTATTATAATTAGAAAAGATGACAATCTGAATCTACAGAACAAGTTTGACTACGTGGTGCTTAAAAACAAATAATTGTGTGAATTACCTAACAATGTTAACATTTTCTAAATCTATTAATTATAAGGATAAGAGCTATTGTTACAATGAACATTAAATTAATACATCCAACATCTTTCAAATATGCTTAAGATGTTCATCTGTGTTCATTTAAAATGGTACAAAATGCTTTTAAGTCTTTTTTTTTTGTCTATTAACGCACAGCTAAATCCTTATACTGTATTTTCATTAATAATACACATAGCTCTGATCAGATTCCTCTGCTTCTTGTGCCACAACCTGAAAGCTCTGAAGGGTCAGGGAAAGTCAACCAGAAATTATTTATTTGAAAAGGAGAAAGCTGACCTTAACATTAGGATAATATCAGACGACAGTGAAAAGATGCTTACTGCTACAAGGTTAAGAAGCGACCCAGCTCTTCCAACATTTCACAGGTGTTTTGCATTTCTATCCAAGAATATTGTAATCCATGAATTATTGACAACCCAGCAATTTGTCACAAAATTGCTGCATTGATATTACTGTTATACCGGGTCATGCATTGCATTATAGTGTAAGCTAAAATGTGATTCTCACCTCTAGTAAACTCTAAACATGTTGGAATAGTAACGACAGTAAAGAGAGTGTTTAAAGGAGAAAAACGAAGCAGTGCTTTCATTCATCAGATTGACAGAAACACAGGATGAGTGATTATGTGTGTAAATAAACTGTTGCAAAGACACACAGATGTTATCTTCATAGTTTTTGTTGCCCTCAGGAGACCAAAAATGAAATCTGTTGATATACAGCAGGTATACAGCAATCCCAGAATCCATCGTTCTAACCTATTTTATAGCTTAATGATTATGCCCTGGCAAACACCAATATTTCTGGGCCTCCGCCGGAGCCAGCCCATGCCTCAATAAATTAAAAGATAATTCAGGGCCTGCTATGAGAATGTAGTTGCTGGCTTCCTGATTTAATCTTTAATCTCTAAATGAACAACCAGAGTCCAGATTTTTACAGTACCCAAAATCTTATTTTACACCTACCGAAACTGTCAACATAGGTAACTGTACATAAAGGTAAGATTCAAAACAACTGATTCAAATGAGACATTTAATTGCCTTCCTATTGATTTGAGCAGGGTTTAATAGGTTTTTAGTACGAGTAAGTTTTTAATCACATAAACGCAAGCAAAACGGTCCTATAGGGGTGCTGCTCTGTGTGAAAGTTGTACCTCTGAGACAAAACATCTGCCCAAGTAGCTTATTGAAAAGCTGATGGTAAAGCCTAGGGGAAAAAGTAATTTTAGACTAAAGCTAGAAAACATAAAGATGAAAGGGACTAAGATTAATTTGCAAAAATGAAGTAAGGCATCAAGACATACATAAAAAAGTGTTTAAAATGAGCCCAATAAGAAACGACTCAATACTACAACACAAAGACTGCTACACAGAAATAACCAAAGAGGCTAAATCAACTTGTTTATGTTTGACATAAAACTTAATGTCAAGCGAGGCGTATTTAAACAAATAAACTCAAAAAATACTTCAGATTTGCATAAACGAAAAACATCTGCAAAACCAAAAAAAAAAAAAAAAAACTTTTCAAACCAAAATTGAGATCAAAGATTCTTTATGGGAACATTGTATAAAAGGACCAAAATCTGTTTAAAATATATTTTCTAATGATATGATGAGTAAATTASTGTTTTGACCCTAAAACACCACAAAATAACACAGGTAGACCGTGAATATCCACATATCAAGCGATAAGGCCTTTAAAATATCACCGCTGCGCTGTAGAAAATACAGCTCAGAAGCAGGCCACCTATAGCACAAATTATTTCAGGAGAGTCATGGCCACAGATACGATCTACTATAGATGTTTGGCGATACCTGAGAGTGGAACAGTAATGTGACAGGAAATTAACCTGCAGAGACCGCACAGCATTCAGTGGCTTCAGTTAGGCTATACATAATTTCAGGTCATGTAGGTGGGCTTTACCCGCAAGATGGAATATGGGATTTAAAAATGTCACAATTACAGGAAAAGTGTGCTAGAGATGAAGCTGTGGAATGAGTTTGGTTGTTGATTAATAAATATATTTTTCTTAACTGGTCTTTATACAGTAATAGGGCAGATTTGTGAGGACAATAAAAAAAACATGACCTTTTTCACTGAAAGAGGCATTTGGAATTTTAACGTATCGTATTTTCCAAACTATAAGTCACACTTTTTTTAAATAGTTTCCATGGCCTCTCCGAACTCCTCACACGCCCGAGTTTTTGCCTCAGYGACCAACTGAGCTGCATTCCGCTCGGACTGCCGGTACCCATCAGCTGCTTCTGGAGGCCCACAGGCCAAAAAGATCCGATGGGCCTCCTTCTTCAGCCTGACGGCATCCTTCAACGCCCGTGTCCACCAGCGGGTTCGAGGGTTGCCGCCATGACAGGCACCGAGAACCTTGCAGCCACAGCTCTGGTAAGCAGCCTCGACAATGGAGGCAGGGAACGTGGTCCACTCTGACTCAATGTCTCCCACTTCCCCCCGGAACATGTTCAAAGTTCTCCCAGGGGTGTGAGTTGAAGCTAAGTCTGTCCAGAAAATACGGAATGCAAATACACAATGCTAAGATCTGATAAATAAAACACGAAAATGCAAATGCATCGACACAGATTACCTTTTGTATGTATGTGTGTAAATGTATGAATTGTTGTTCAAAGAGTTAAACCTTTGTATTTTTCTTTTTTTATAAACTAAAGATTGTTTTTGATTGAATTTATCTATTTGAGAGAAAGGGGCAGATATAATAAAATTTCATCTTCTTCTGCTACCTTTCATTTAATTTATGATTTGTATTTTTGTTGTATGTTGAATTTATGTTGTTTTTTCTAAAGAAATCAATAAACTAAATGAACTTTTAATTACGACAGTGTGATATAAATGCATTTTGATCAGATAAAATACGATGTAATGCAGTGCAATTCAATGATGCAAAATGATCCTATGAAATTTCACATATGCACCCAGCTTAGTATTATATATATA